CGTGGCTAACTTATACTGGTGACCTCTTAGCGAGGTGTTTTGACTGAGTGTTAGAAGGGAATGGCATGGGTGGTTGGGGCCTTTCAGGATTAGGTACACCATTATGAGATCTCCCTTTAGAGGCCAATAACGTCCACTGTGTATTTTGAGGGTCTTCAGCCTGAGTTTGTAGGGGAGGCTGGTCAAACCTCTGGCGCTCTTTGTTGCCCTACGTTGTGCAGTATCGCGTGCGGTGAGATGGTGCTTGAGCTAGGGTTGCCATGCTTGAATAGCGTATTCCACGTGTGGCCTCAAGTGCGCAGTAAGCATTTTTGGAAAGACTGAAGGGTCAAACTTCCCGAAGGCTCTGCGAAGAATGCCGAGGTACTGGTTTGCTTTCTTAGCTGCCTTTTCAGTCTGCCTCAAACAACCTGTAACAGTTGTGCTATGGCGGCAAAACTACCTGTCAAGTGTGAGCTCCATCCTTGGTGTTGAACTGAGTTAAAAGACGACAAACGTCTCTGGTTGTATCACAAACAATGAAAGTGTCATCCACGTATCGCAAATACGAATCAAAGGTTGAGATAACCGGTTGCAAAGGTCCCCGTTCAAGCTTCGCCAGGAAAACGTCAGCAAGCAGCGGTCTTAGAGGGGACCCCATTGCCACATTGTCAATGTGCCTGTAATAGATTCCATAATGGTTTACCTCGCCCAACATCAGTTAGGTTGTGAAGTGAGTATACCCTACTCAATGGAAAACTTCTGTTGTTATCCCGCGACATAAAAATGGCGCTGCCCATGAGGTTAAAAACTTTCGTCCCATAATTCACACACCCATCATATCTAGAATAATGGAAAGGATAGTAAAAGATGAACTATTTATATTCTTGAACAAAGCTAACATTATCAGCAATTCGCAACACGGCTTCATGCAAGGTCGATCCTGCGCAACATGCCAGACTGACTTTTTAAACCACACAACGGCTGCCATTGACAACGGAAACTGTGTCGTAATCCTGTTCCTGGATATGCAAAAAGCCTTTGATAGAGTGCCTCACAGAAGGTTACTGGAAAAACTGAAGGCTACAGGCATTAGAGAACCGATGTTCTCTTGGATGTCTTCATATCTAATTGGTAGACAGCAGGTTGTGCGCATAGGCGACCATTTCTCTACACCGAAAGCAATCACTAGTGGAGTGCTTCAAGGGAGTGTTCTTGGTCCACTTCTTTTTCTAATTTATATTAACGATATATTCCAGAGAATAAGAAATGGTGTTGCATTTATCTTTGCTGATGACATTAAAGTTGTCTACTCACAACCACGTGCAAGTACTCAGGAAGCCGTACGTCTCATTCAGGATGACCTATCCGCCCTTGACTTCTGGTGCCAACTGTGGCAGATGTCATTTGCCGTGGACAAGTGTAATATTTTGTCGTACAAATGCCAAGTACCGCCAGACAGTTTATTACTACAAGGTGCCTATATCTCGCAATGCAGGACAATTCGCGACTTGGGCGTTTAACTTTTCTGAACACTGTGACTTCCAAGTTTCGAAAGCCATGAAGACCATTGGTTATATCTGCCATCATTTTTACCTCACGGAATCTCGCATATCCCTTTACAAAACATGTATTGCCGTGTATGGAATACTGTTCAATGATACAGTCTAATCTACGGAAGTCTGACCAGCACGCTCTTGAGAGGGTTCAGAGACGCTTCACGAAAAAGCTATGTGGATATTCCTCAAAGTTGACATACAAGGAGCGATGCGATACACTTGGATTTGACCCAGTTTGGCTTCGGATAGTGAAGCTGAACCTATGTTTTCTGTACAGAATCATAAATTGTCAAATTCGCAGTCCTGAAAGCGGTGTTCACATATCTGTAAACAACAGATACCCAATACGTAACAAAGAGGTAAAGGTCATGATTCCAAAATTTTCTACGAGAATCAGAGAACGTTTCTTTCTAACCCAATACTCAAAGATTTGGAACAAACTTCCAAGTGACATCAGAACATGCTATACTCTTTGCAATTTTAAGCTTGCTATTAGTAAGCATTTAACCGTCCAAAACGTGATTAAGATGTTCGGGACATCACAGTCCCTAGATAACGCATTCGAAAACGGTATCCATGGTGTCTGAATAAATTTCTGAAACGCATACACATAACATTTCGGACAACAGCCCCTTTCATTACATTTTTTTCTCTCGGCCCAAATATCTATCATATGATTGTAAAGAATCCTGATTCAGTGGCAGGTAAAAATAGCAGAACGATTCTGATTACTCTGTGTAACATAATTTGCGATTGCATCCATGTTTATCTCTGAAATTGTATTGATGAAATGTCATGGAATAGTTGTACCATTATTTGATCTGTTCCTTCTAGAGAACAGCCTCTCGCATAGTCGAGGAATATACAATTTATTTATTTATTTATTTATCGAACATCTTGTGTAAGCAGCATAGAGACGCCGTCAAAGAATTGAGAGCGAATCCTGAACTGATACTTTCCAGACCAGACAAAGGTTCTGGTTGGGTATTAATGAATACGTCTAACTACGTTTCAAAGCTTCGAACTATTTTGAAAGATACGAGCAAATTTGCATACGATGTAGTTCAAAAGGATAAATTCGCAGAGAATGAGGCCAGGATTGCCAACCGGCTGAAGGAGTCAGGAAAAGCGAATCTGATAACTGACTCGTTACTTGATCGGTTAACTCCAGTAGGGTAGCATCCTTCTAGACTATACGGACTTACGAAAGTGAACCAGCCAAACGTACTTCCACGCCCCATTTTTAATATGTCCTCTTCCGCCTTCCACTCCGTCGCTAAGTGGCTAGTGAAAGTGTTGGAGCCAGTATGGCTAGTGAAAGTGTTGGAGCCAGTACGAAAGGAACATTCTACTCTCTTACTAAAAGACACTTCTGAATTCGTGAAACCCATAGAGGACCTGACCGTGCGTGGCAAACTCATGCTTACATTTGATGTTGAATCACTCTTCACCAACGTCCCACTGCTAGAAACCGTCAATTTTCTTTGTGATTACATTACCACCAAGAATATAGACCTCGGGATTCCGGCAAGCTCAATAAAGGAACTTATTTTACGATGCACTTTTAACATGCAATTCCTATTTCACGGAATCTATTACAGGTAAATTGACGATGTGGTGATTGAGTCCCCTCTAGGACCGCTACTTGCTGACGTTTTCCTGCGAAGCTTGAACGGTGACCTTTACGACCGGTTATCTCAACCTTTGATTCGTATTTGCGGTCCGTGGATGACACTTTCATTATTTGTGATTCAAACAGAGACGTTTCGGGTCTCTTAGATCAATCCAATAGCGCACATCCGACGCTACATTTCATCAGTGAAAAGGAAAACGATGGAAGACTGGCTTTTTTGCACGTGTTGCTGAAGCGACGGAACGACGGCTCTCTGGAGAGAAGCGTTTTCCGGAAGCCGACATGCACGGGGCAAATCACACACTTTTTAAGCTTTGTGCCTTTACAACACAAGCGGAACTTAGTGCGTTGCTCATATTACCGTGCCGCCAGAATCTGCAGCCCAGAGACGCTGGACGAAGAGAAACATCATATTTTCAGGATATTACAAGAGAACGGATATCCCGTTCAGTTTATCCGAAAGCACGCCACGATTCGTCTGCGCTCCGAAATCTTCTTGACCGTACCAAAAATGGATGTGCAGCTATCTGTGCCATTCAAAGAGATGTTACCTTGAACTTACTGAAAAGGCGACTCTCAGCAGCACTGTCCAAAACCGACCCAGTCGCGTATCTACATGTACTTACTCAGACCGCTCCCTTTATTGCTCCGCGTCTTTTCCCAATCATACGTCTTGTATCAATTTACTTGCACCTGTGGTGCACGTTACCTCGGGCCTACAACCAAGCGCCTGTCAAAACAGGTAGCAGAGAACTGTCCAGGCTGGTTAAGAAGAGACATGGACAGAAACATAAACAGTGTTATCGTGGAACATGTGATCCTAAATGGACACGAAATTCAAACATCGGATGCGTTTAAGATCTTCTACTCTGTCTCACCACGCCATCCGAAGGTTCTCAGACAGCCTCTTTTGCAGATAGCTGAAGCAGTTTCTATCAGACCGATCCAGCCCGAGCTTTGTAGACAAGGAGCCCTTGTACAAGTGCTTCTCCGAGCCTGGCCACGGGGCAGTTACTCGGGATCGGACACCAACTACTAACTCCGTTCAAACTCTTGGCTTAGCTGTCCTCAGCGTAGCTGACAACAGCTTACCACGTTGTATGTCTTTTTTATTACTGCAATGGCCTGAGGAGAATAATCGAAAAGAGATCTCTTCGCTATTTGGACTTCTTGTTGCGCCTCTGTGGCATCTGCTTCACCATGCTGCAAATATTCTCAGAAAGCCCAACAAACTTCAAGTAGCCCATGAGGGTGCAACTAGGTTTTCGAGTTGTAAAGTTTTGTTACATAGGCATCGCGCTGATTCACCAAACTCAATGTATCCCATGGGTCCACTTCTAGTGCGCAAATTGAAAGAAGCCAAACTAGCTATCGTTCGTATGATACAGTCCGACGTTTACGCAAGTTAAATCAAGAGTTTACAGAAACAGGATGCGGCATCCAAACCCAATCAGCTGAAGAGTTCACTTCGACGTCTCTACCCAGTGTTATGTGAGGATGTCATGTATGTGGGCGGACCTCTAGGGCATACCGATTACGGTGAAGATATGAAGTACCCCGTTATTTCGTCAAGCAAACAACCCGTCGTGGACTTGAGCACACGGCACTATCACAAATTCAAACACTTAGAGGAGTTTCGCATCCTATATTATACGTAAAAGCTCTTGTATGGTGCATGGTGTTGGCGCCGTGAATAGGGTGCTCGGGGAATGTCCAATAATTAATTAATTAATTAATTAATAATTTGTAAGCAGTACGCCGTAACGGCGCTTCGCTGCTGTTATAGAGGAGGTAAGAATACTCCACCACTCCCCGTGGTTTTGTGAGTTTTATTCCACTCACCCCTATTCACCCCGTCCTCTTTTACGGTTCCCCACATACGTTTCTATTACTTCACTTTTGTGACTAGCTTGGGTTGACACTGAATCTTATGCTTAATGGTTTTTCCCTTACTCTGTACATTTCGCTCGTTCGTGAGACATCGTATCGATCCTTCGCCCCGGGAATGACTAGCTTTGATTGATCGATTGTCAGCCTTTCTGCATAGCCTGTGTATATGCCCTAATTTGAATCGTGTGATTGAGTTGCACACACAGACGTTTGGTGGCCGGTTTGGCGTGCGGCGTGAACAGTATTTTCTACCCGGTCGTTTGTGTTCTCACTACGGTTAGTGGGTGGAAGCAGTCGTGGGGCTCCGACACAACAGTTTCTCTGGCGACGGAGGTGTTGAATTATCATGGCTATTTCATTCGAGCAGTTGCAGTCCCTCCTTCAGCAGCAGCAGTTTCAGTTTGAAAAGTCACAGCAGCAGTTATATGAATTGCTGTCACAAAAGCTCAACATCCAGGTGGAATGGCGGCCGGAACCGAGGCAGACATCACAGGAAATTGCAGATGAATGTCACAGACTGCTTAGTTTGAACAGTGATCCAAAAATTGTTGATTTCAGACCCGCGGGAAGTGAACCCCAGTTCTGTCACGCAGCTATTAATGGCCAAAATATGAATCCAGATGTGCCGAACCAGAAGCCCCCGACTACGTCTTGGAACGAAGGTGAGAGGCACTCTACGAGAAATTTCGCTCACAAAATTCCTCCTTGTCAAAACGCGCACAAATTCATATGCAAGCATACTCCAAGATTACGCGCAAGTTCCAACTTCCAAAGAAACCGGTTTCGCGGCGAAGTAAGGGAGGCGACGTCTGTAGTATTTCGCACAGACTTTCCAGAGAAGAGAAAATACCCTACAGTGAAACACAACAATATTCCGTTATCGCTGCGACCAGAAACGATGCATACTAGAAAGACCATTTCTCCATCAACCCAGCCAGGACTTGGCACATCGGCAGTCAAACAAAAATTTCATGCGGTTCAAAATGTTTTGGAAGTGAAAGGAATTCAGAAGTTATACTTGCTCAGTGAGCCAACGAATCGTATCATGTCTTGCACTAATGGGGATACATATCCCGAATACTTTTGTTCTGACAACGTACTCGAACGAACGACATTGCATACTTGGCCTGAGCCCGAACTACCTTGGTGTTGGATGCATGTAGACCCAGGCGGATACTCTTGTGTGAAGTTATATTGTCCTCCGTATACTCACTTTTTAAGGAGGGAGAGGTGTTATAGCGGAGGTAAGAATACTCCACCACTCCCCGTGGTTTTGTGAGTTTTATTCCACTCACCCCTATTCACCCCGTCCTCTTTTACGGTTCCCCACATACGTTTCTATTACTTCACCTTTGTGACTAGCTTGGGTTGACACTGAATCTTATGCTTAATGGTTTTTCCCTTACTCTGTACATTTCGCTCGTTCGTGAGACATCGTATCGATCCTTCGCCCCGGGAATGACTAGCTTTGATTGATCGATTGTCAGCCTTTCTGCATAGCCTGTGTATATGCCCTAATTTGAATCATGTCATTGAGTTGCACACACAGACGTTTGGTGGCCGGTTTGGCGTGCGGCGTGAACATTATTTTCTACCCGGTCGTTGGTGTTCTCACTACGGTTAGTGGGTGGAAGCAGTCGTGGGGCTCCGACACAACAGTTTTGCAGTTTTGCACAAGGGCCATCCAGGAATCGCCCGCATGAAGGCACTCGCTCGCAGCTACATCTTTTGGCCGATGATGGATAGCCAAATTGAGGATATCGGTCGATCCTGTTCCAGATGCATCAGTGCATCCAAACTGCCGGTGCGTGTGCCATTGCAATCTTGGTCGAATCCAGAATCTCCCTGGTCCCGCATACATGTTGATTTCGCAGGACCAGTCGAGGGGGTGGAATTTCTTGTGATGGTTGACGCGTACATAAGTGGCCGGAAGTGATCCGGATGAAAACCACGTCCTCAAACAGCACGATCTCGGAAATGAGACATGTATTCAGTCAGCATGGCCTACCAAAAACCGTTATTTCCGACAACGGATCGCAGTTTACTTCCTATCAGTTAGCCGAGTTTTGCGCACAAAATGGAATCGAGCACGTGAGGACAGCACCATATTATCCACAGTCAAATGGCCAAGCGGAAAGATTCGTCGATACCCTGAAAAGAGCACTTTTGAAGTCAAAAGGCGAGGGAACGTTGGACGAAAGACTGGACCGGTTCCTACTGAATTATCGAGTGACTCCCAATCCCAATGTACCCGATGGGAAGTCACAAGCTGAAGTCCTAATGGGTCGCAGATTGAGAACTACACTGGATTTGCTGACACCCAGGCGTCCTCTCCCACAAACAAGGAACTTAGCAATGGAGCAGCAATACAACAGGCGGTACGGAGCACGGAGAAGGATGTTCAGAGTTGGCGAATTTGTATCTGCAGCGGCTATTCAGGGACGGCGGATCAGCTGGATACCAGGACGCATCGTGCGACGTCGGGGACGGGTGATGTACGATGTTCAAGTTGGTGCGCAGGTATGGAGACGTCACGCAAATCAGCTGAAACTGCGGTGTACACTGGAAGGTGATGTTCAGAATGCCGACAGATTTGATGTTAATGACTTGCTTGACAATGGCAAACCAAGTGCTTCTTCACGCCGAGAATTTCAACCAAGGGAATGCCCGGAACAAGTAGGTCGGAACAGACCCCAACGAACAAGAAAATTCGTACAGCCGTTTCAGTCAGGTGGATCCTCTCGTCCGAAGAGCTGCACTGTCACCAGGTTACTCGTCTCTTTTCAAGAAGGGAGAGGTGTTATATTGGTGATAAGAAAACTTCACCACACCCCGTGTGCATTGTATCAGAACCTTCTCAGTTACGAGCAGACTAGTGCTTTGTCTGTGTGGCAGAACATTAGTCACAATCGCTTGTTTCATACCAATCACATGTCCCGTGATTCACTGAGATCGATAAATTCAAATTAGCACTCAGCCGTGATTTGAACTGTAATCAGAGTGTTTTCATACCCACGTCGGCCCGTGCAGTGTTTCGCAAATATACTTCCTGTCCGGTGCGTTGTCTTTTGACTCGCGTGGCGCAAACTAAGAAGCTGCTAAGTCGAACCCTGGGGACACAACAGCTGGCGTGCGACAACCAGCAGTCGCAAGCAGGTTGAGTATACGGCGATGAGGCCCATCCCTACGCGGATTCGAACCAGCACTACCAGAGTACGAGACAAGCTCCTTATCTCTAGGCTACGGGCCGACAGGAAGATGTCTAAACTGTCGTAGGTGTACCGCAGTTCCATACCATCAACCTACCTACCCGCTTCCACGGGCCAGAGCAGGGAAAGAGTGGTTTCCCTTCAAGTATACTGACTTAGCTTATTTTAGGCCTAGTTACCTGGAACGTGGTTTATGGACGGCAAAACGCTTCGGTTGCTTATGCACCTGTCAGCAAACCAGAACTGTTCATCTCGATGTGGTCCACAGTCTTTCTATGGATGCACACGTTACAGTACTTATCCCTTAGGTTGGCAGACGCGGTTGCCCAGGCCATATGTATAGTGACAACAGGACGTACTTCGTCGTGGTGATGACCGGACTAAGGGACTACTTACAAAAGGGGGATCGACGAATAATCAATCGCAAAATACTTGCTCGTGGAGTAGGGCTGCAATTTAATCCACCCGCTTCTAGTCACTGAGGAGGAATAAGGGAAAAGCTAATCAGCTCGGCACGAAAGATATTAAATAGCTGAATACTAAATACTGTATTATAGAGCAAGTAGAGGTAAATTCTGAACATCTCTTTGGAAATATGGAGAAAAACGTTATAAAAGTTGTCAACCGTGAATATCGTTGTCGTTCTCATGCAATATTTAAAATATCTGACTTACGATATTTCAGGATTCACAAATGTGATATGTCATCGTAAGTGTGCAGCCGTTCTCTGAATCGAATAGTGGCAAAATACACATTTAACAACGTTTTGAACTATTGCACAGATGTTGCTTCAATCACATGTTCAGGTAAACTGTGCCAAATGTTTACCACTCTCCGTTCGAAGCACAGTGGGTGGGGAACACATTTCACATCCGGCACGACAAGTTTGTATCTGTGTACGCGTGTGCTGCATGGCCCTCGTAAGTGCAGCATTGGCCTTAGCATGGGGAAGTCACCGAGATGTAGAATACGGTAGATCATAATGAGGTCGACTCGCACCCGACGGTAGGACAAGGTGTAGAGTCCTAGTTTCTCGCACCGGTCTTCATACACACAGCCACGTAAACTCAGGGTCAGCCTGGTAGCAACGTGTTGGACTCGTTCGATCTTTTGTGTCTCGCCTCGGGTAATCGGAAAGTTGGCGGGAGAATCGTACTCTAGCATTGGTCTAATGATGAAAGAGAAGAGGCGAGTGGCAACCTCTTCAGACCGTGTGCCGAAGCTACGTTTGAGCGCCCAAAGCATGCGCAGTCCGTTACGATATAGCCTGTTCGGGTTGTCCACGGAATTCAACTCGTAGCCTGAGAGTACACCTAGGTCTTTCACGGAGGGTGTGGGATATAACGTTTGGCCGTCAAGGATGTAGATTCGGCCGTTAGCACCCTTCCCCAGGCTCATAAATACAGACTTGACTGGGTTGACCGGGAGAAGAACTTCTGCAGACCATGTGGATAGGCGGTTGAGATCTTGCTGAAGTAGGCCACAGTCATCGGGAGCGTCGATTTCTCTCCAAATCTTCATGTCGTCCGCAAATAAGGCACACTGCGACCGGAGAAGCTACGGTGGATCGTTGATGTGGATCAGGAACAGAGTGGACCCCAGCACAGTGCGTTGAGGCACGCCACTTGTAGAGGGGTACCAGTCAGTTAGATGGTCGTCGACCTGTACCCTCCACTTTCGTCCAACAAGAAAGTCGCGGATCCACCGGTGCAGTGAGCCACCGACACCACACATGCTGAGTTTGTGAAGGAGAACCTCATGACTGACCTTGTCGAACGCTTTACTGAAATCGATGAATATCACGTCGACGGACTTCCCCTTGTTTATTGCCTTCATCCACTCATGCCTCGTCACAAGCAGGTTCGTAATGCATGAGCGTCTGCAACCAGCAGCACCTGTCTGTCGACTCACTGGCTACCACGATTGTTGAAGTCGAACGAAGGTTAAACAATCGTTCATTATTAGCGACAACAACGAACTCCCTTCTTTTGATTCGACACGAGGTATTAGAAATTCCCACCTCAGACATCTCAGACAAAGCAAGCGATAGAAACAGGTAAACTACATCGCTAATATATTTGGAAAAAACCGCCGAGAGTATACTTCACAACTTTGCAAGTACGACAAAATGTTTGCGTCCAAAAAGAGACTTGCTCGTCAGCGAAGTAATACTAGCCGTGTCCGAAAGTGTGCGTCGAGGGCGTTGGTCACTTGCTCGTGTCGTGAGATCAGCGCTGCCGGATTAGTACGGACAGTTTCCGTCAAGACAGCTTCCGAAGTAGTGAGGACATAAGACGCCTAGGCCGTCTAGAGGGTGATGGATAGCAGTTTTTCAGTCTCGTTATGGGTGCAGGGCGGTAGTCAGTGCGAATGGTTTTCACCCAAACGCACCCATGACATAGAAGACGCCAAAGAGGGCATGTGTTAGGAGTCATGGAGAACATCTATCATTGTGGGACTATTGGGGTGTAACGTTCCAAAGTCTAACACCTTAGCAACTGTGAGTGAATGTAAGGTAACATCGTGGGATGGGAGCCAGAGTAGCATGACACTCAAGACAATGACGCACAAAGAAAATTTGGAGGGCAGTGTAGCGGGTTCCTGCATGGTTGGAAATTCACCTGCAATGTGCTCTCGGTTGACACTTGGATTGTACTTTACCGATCATTCAACTGACTTTTCGTCATGGGTGCTGGTGCTCTGATCCATGCCCCTAAAAAACCTGGCTAATGTGACCACTCTCACCCCTCTCAAATGTCCACTCGCCTTGTAACTGTCACACCATTCGTCCTGTGGTTTAATTTCATTCCCTCCCTAAGTTGACCTTATCTGAGTTTGTTTCGTCGGTAACGCCCATGCATTATGCACGATGTCGCTGCCTCAATGGCATTGTAACATAGTTACCGCTTCCTCTGTTTGTGCTCAGGTCGTCAAATTTGACAACTGTTTATTTGTACGTGTGCGTTCTGTAAACCCCTCACTCTGTGCTTGGACCATCGAAGATTGACCAGTGTCCTTGCTAATACTTCCACACGTCTATTGTGTGCTCACTTGTCATTTAGCTGTCTGCCTGAACAGCGCTTCCCTTCCCGTGGCGTATTTGCATTTGGTTGCTGACAGTGATACACCGGGATCCCGGAAAATTGGCGTATGCCTGACTTACTTAATCGTATGTAGTTTAATAGTACCGTAGTTATTGCTATCACTGGCTCCGCGTCATTCAACGGTCCACCAGTGGAGGTTACAGGCAGCCGGAAGGTTTTGTCGAAACCTTTAAGCGAGAATCGATTAAAATGAAGGTAGTGCGGCGTATCCGGGAAATTATCGACAAATTTTCGCGGATTTATCGTACGGTGATGGGTCCTGCAGTGCCTCAAAACTTGTCTCCATCCGAAGCGTTTCTCAGTAGGCGTGTCAGAACGGTCTTTGATTCTTTGGAGCCATTGCTA